GCGCAAAGGGGGGGCAGGCTTCTGGGTCGGCCCCTGGTGGGGAGGCCCTGGAGTAGGCCTGCCGCAGGTCCTTAATTTTGTAGTGGACCTGCTTCTTGGTCTGCATGTTGCCTCTACTGGCCACGCTGGCAACCATGCGGCTGTAAACGGCTGCATTCCTGTGCCTAGTGTGGAGATCATGGACATTGGAAGCCTCCCCCCAAAATCTCGATGAGGTCCATGATCTCCACCACTAGACCAGGCGGGCGCCCGCCTTTTGCAGCTCCAGGCCGGCTGGTCATGGGAAGAGGTGGAGGGCTGGGTAACAGGGGGTGGCTGGCTCATCCCATGCCAGGTGCAGGGTCTGCTGTCTGGATGCTGGCAGGCTTGCAACTGGAGCAAGCACTGTAGCCAGACTGTGCCCCTTTAAGGGCTCCGGGGCTGGGAAGGGGGCAGAAGAGTTTTCCTGGTTTGGCCCAGAGTGGCCACCAGGGCAACCTGGGAAGGGCTAGCCTCCAGCTAGTTCAAATTAAGTGGCTACACAGCCTTCATTCAAACTACTTATTTCAAACTAGGCGTTACTCCTCATAGAATGAGATTTACCTAGTTCGAATTAAGCGCTCCGCTATTTCAAATTAAATTCAAAATAGCGGTTTGCATGTATAGCCACTATTAAAGTTAATTTGAACTAACAGCTGTTAGTTCGAATTAACTTTGTAGTGTAGACATACCCTGAGAAGCCACAGGACTCCTCGTTGTTTTCACAGATACAGACTAACATGGCTGCCCCAATATGTGATGCTTAGCAGCTCAGTCAAAGCAAAAAAACCAACAAACCCAACAACAATAGACTATAAAGTGCTACCAGACCATTTAACAAAACATGTAGATGGTATCATGAGCTTTTGTAGAAAGCTCATGATACCATCTACATGTTTTGTTAGACTATAAAGTGCTACCAGACCATTTGTTGGTTTTTTTCCTGTACAGACTAACTCAGCTACCCCCTGAAGTTTCCATAGGTAGTTATTAATTGTTAATATTCACTTCTACGTGCCGAACATGAGATGTCTAGGTCCAGAGTTGGAGAAGTACTAAGCATGTAACTGTAAACAAAGTCAATGGGAACTGTATTTTTGCACATAACACATGCTATAAAAACACTAAGCACTCTGGATATTAGACCCGTGGCATCTCAACTTGGGCACCAAAACCAATGGACATCTTTTACAATTTTGACCACATTTACTCTGTGGTTCAGTTTTTAATTTTAAAATCGAGAATACTGTTACCTTACCTCACAGAAGGGATGTGATAGTGTACACGAGTAAACATGTAACTGATGAACCTGGGCTCATCAGTTAATCTTGTTAGTTACATGTAACTCCTACCCCGTGCTGCTGCTTCTGTATCAAAGGCAACAGCATGGGGGGTGGAAGGAGAGCAGGCAGGAGCCAGTGCTTGTGGGGAACCGGCTTTAAAGCCGGCTCCTCAGGCGTACCCTCCTCCCATCCAGCGCTGCTGCTTCTTACATAGAGGCAATAGCATGGTGGGGCAGGCAGGAGCCGGTATGTACGGGAAGCCAACTTTGAAGATGGCTCCCCATGTGTACTGGCTCCCACGGAGCCGCCTCTCCTCTCCCCGTGCTGCTGCCTTTTAAGCCAACTCCCTGTGAGCACTAGTTCCCACCTGTCCCCTTTCTGTCCTGCTACCTCTTACACAAAAGTTCAGCGAGTACATGTTTACCAAAATAAACATATTTTAACATCCCTACCGCACAGGAATGTTGTAAAGATGAATTAATTAATGTTTTTTAAAAACTCAGAATTTATGATGGTAAGCATAATAGAAAAGTATTCAGTACAGGTTTTGGAACGTGTGAGAAAAATAATGCACGAGGCCAATAGTTGAATAAGAATAAAAAGAAATGCTGTTAGACCATCCTTTAAAAATTCACAACCATTGTAATTTTGAATTACAGAATTTTAGAATAAGCATGTAAAGATGTGTGTAGATATTTGAGTAAAGTGTACCACTTGAAGTTCTGACTTCAAAGATTATCATATGCTTTGATATCTGCCCTTTTGAGTGTCTTAGAAACCAAATATTAACCTTTATTAAATGCAGAGAAAGCAGATTTGTGTATGTAAATATGGCTTTCTTTTTAAATTTATTATTTTTAAGAGGCTCAAAACAATATATATCGTTAGACTTAATTTAAGATAAAAGTGCAAATAAGAACATAAGAACAGACGTACTGGGTCAGACCAAAGGTCCTTCTAGCCCAGTATCCTGTTTACCGACAGTGGCCAGCACCAGGTGCCCCAGAGAGGGTGGACCGAAGACAATGATCAGCGATTTGTCTCCTGCCATCCTTCTCCAGCCTCTGACAAACAGAGATCAGGAACACCATTTCTATCCCCTGAATTTATTTATATTAAATAAATTAAAATAAAAATGCAGACTTGAGGCGTGCTACCCCCTTTTCCCTATGAGCCATGCACCATGAACATATGACAGACCGGACAAGGTACGTGAGATACTTTTTTTTTGGATCATGTTCTGCTGATGGATGGTACAAACTTTTGAGCTACACAGAATTCCCCTTCAGGTCTGGGGCAAAAGCCAAATGTCTGAGCTAACTAGATGTTGGGACAGATTGATAAGCAGAAGTGGAAAATTTTGGAGGAGGTCACTTGCAATGAAATGGGAAATTGGGGGTCAGATTGTTATACAAAGGGTTTGAAGTGGGCAATTAAGAGTAACAGACAGTAGGGATATGAACGGGTACTCAGTGATGTTTACTGGTTAACATGGGTCTAGAGCCGGTGTCAGCCCCAGCACTGGGACCAGGAGCTTGCCAGCGGCAGTCCCTGGCCCCAGCCCTGGAAGCTGGTTAACTGGTAGATTAACCTAATGTTTAATCGGTTAACTGATTAATCAGAATTTTACATTCTTAAGTGTATGTTGAAAATTGCTGTAATAAGTCACAAAAGTCAGTGTCCATGTTAAGTCCGTGGCTTTTAGTCTGTCTAGCAGAGTTGTGAATTTAAGTTCCCCTTCTCTGGGTGACCCTTTGAGGGAGTTGTGCAGATTTCCTTTGAGGACATGCACTGAAAGATCAGCTATGGAGCAATAGTTTTTTTTTTAAGAATTTGTCCACTTGTGGTACAGTGTATTTGTCTTTTATCACTTTTTTTCGGTGTAACCTCAAGTCATTAGAGACCTCAGGATTCTCTGGTTTCATCCACACAGTTGTTGGGGAGTTTTATGCTCTGGTTAAGGTACATTTTTTCCTGTACTGAAGCTAGTACTTTGGGGGTATTTTGGTGACTCTTTCCATGATGAGATCTACTTGGTAGGGTCTTCCTGTTTACTGAAGGCATTTTAAAATGTGTTTAGGTTAGGGATGTAAAATCCTGTTTAATCAGTTAACTGGTTAAATGTTAGGTTTAACAGGTTAACTCCTTAAGTGGGATCAGCTCCAAGCTCTTCTGGCCCCATGCAGGGCTCCCTTCTCCCTGGAAGCAGCAGTGGGGGGAAGGGCAGGAGAAGGAGGGCTTCTGGCTCCCAACCCACATGGGCTCGCGAGCCGGTAGTCGTCAACTTTACACAGGGTGGAAGCAGCAGCGAGTGGGAGAAAATGAGCAATCCTATAGCACCTTAGAGACTAACAGATTTATTTGCTTTGGATTTGGGAACCTAAAGTGTATATCCATCTCATGCCACCAGAACAACAGCTGTCCCTTTGACACTGTTTTAGAGTAAATCTATGGGGGCTTCCCTGCCTTCTCTAGAATGAGAGAAAGATTTAAGGGAGATCAGTGGTACTTGGTCATTTTTTAAGCATTGCTGTCTTTATAAGGAGCCTTAGTATCAAATGAGGCAGCATATATTCAAGTTTGATTTTGACACTTGCTCAATTTTCATGAAGTTATCAAGTTTATAATACTTCTTTGAGATGGACTGATTAACAATACATAAGAGCTAGCTAACATTACTTCGCAGCCTTGATGTTGTTGTGCTGATCCCAGGATACTAGCAAGACAAGGTCAGTTAGGTAACATCTTGTTCTGCTCCACTTTCTATATTGATTAAATTCAATCTTGCCTCCAGACAGTCTGGCAAATGTTTCTAGCTGATGCAATTTATTGCTTTATGCTCACTCTTCTGTCACCAAGACACAATCGCCCACTTGGAACAGCTATGCCTGGAAGGTCAGAATGGCAACAGGCACTGGAGCAGAGAAGCTACCCTTGTAGAGCATGGCTACCCTGCACTTCCTGGAGCAACCCAATCTCAGGCTGGACGGGAGACAGGAAAGTAACGGGGACTAAGGCTAAGGTGGGTGCGTCAGGTGTAGCTTCAAACCTTGCTGCGCATGCACCCTCCCTCCGCCCACCCTGTGTGTGTGTAGGGGGGCGCTGACACACTCCCGCCCACCACTCCAGGCCTCCCGCGAGTCTGGCTCCTCCAGCTCCACCCCATCCCCATCCATCTCACGCCCGGCCCGGCAGGTACCTGGTGTCCGGGGGATTTCTCCAGCAGCTGGGAGCAGAGATCAGGGCAGAGCTGGAACTTCCGCCTCCTGAAGCAGCTCCAGGCCTGCAACAGCGGCTCCATCTCCAGCCCCGTCGTGCCAGGGGCAGGGACCCAGGGCCGGCTGACCCG